TGTATTCCCGATGTTTTTTAAAAAGGCCAATTAAAACTTAGAGAGTAATTATTTTACTATCTAAAATTAAAAATGGTATGATACTTGTGTTACTATGTACTGTCAGGTGACAAATTGCTCTAAATAACTTACAGGTTTTGTGGTTAGAAATCTGGGTGAGGCTTAGCTGGGTCTGTTTCTAACGCAGCAATTGGCTAGGATAACGGTGCCAGCTGGGGGCCACAATCATCTCAGTGTTCACTTGGTAGCAGATCTACCTTCAAGTTCACTCACTGGGTGGTTGGTATGGATATTCTATTTGTACTGCTGTTGACCAAGGGTCCTGGTTCCTGCTGGCTTTTGGTGGAGGCACTCTCAGTTCTGTGGGTCCCTCCACCACGGAAGTCCTCTCCTCAAAGAGTGCATGCTAAGAAGGCAGAGTCTGGCAAGATGAAGTCATATTCTCTCATAGCCTAAATGCAGAAGTGACAGTCTCTCATATTTGCTATTTCTATAACTAATGAGTACTTTTATAATCAGTAATTGACAACAAAATGTATCACCGAATGCATCAAAATTCCACTCTCAAAATGCAGTCAATATAATCAAAGGAATGTACTGAGTAAAAATTCTTCACTGAAATAACGACCTTTAAAACATGGTTTTATAAAAGCAAAAGTTTTTGCCACTGATATATTAAGCTGGTATTGAAAATACACATTTTGTGAACGTGGGCAAAAGAATACAAAGGTATGAGCAATTTGAGATATAGCTCAGTGACAGAAGCAGGACAAATGTCACCTTGTAAAGCACTGAATGCCAATCTTTATATATCCTAATTAGATCTCTTTTCACCAGTAGACTTTATGTATCTCTGCACATGTGAAATGCATTTTTGAAAATAACACACCGAAGTTACCAGGTTTTGGGGCTCTGGGATCTCCTTCTGGAGGTGTTTTTCAGCTTCTGTCTTGAAGAATTGAACAAAACAAGCAAAGACGGTGGCAGAAGTTTCACATTTATTTGAGGTAGGGAAAAATTAAAAGTTGAAAGGTTCTGCAGAGCGACCTTGGGCTGAGTAAAAGAGGAAAAAAATGATAGAAAAACATGCCCTGAGTATAGGGGAGGGAACTGTGAGTAAAGCGGTGATACAGAGCACTTAGAATAGCCTCCTCTCGTTCATTCCACACATCAGGGCTCTCGCGAGAAGTCCACACTGGAGAGGCAATGCTATGTGGACTCCCGGATCTCGCCTCGCCTGCTTCCCAGCCAGTGAATCCTATCAAAGCCACGCCCTATGTTCCTATCTCCCCAAGATGGTCAGTGAGGAGTTCCAACATTTATTCCTGCATATTGTCAATGAATAATGTTCAAAAGTCTAATTCAAGTAAGGCATTTGGGATACTCTGCCAGCAGAGGAGCAGTTAGGACTCTTTGGTAGCTAAGTAACAGGATAACTTTGCAAGGAAACTCACATGCATCTATAATGGCTGCAGTGGAAAAGGATACTAAATAACAGCTACCTCAAATCAGGCCATTTGAATTGGAAATCCAAATTTATAGGACTGCTACTCTTTTGGGACCAGAAAATTTGAGACTGGAACAATGCAAATTAGTCCAGTTATGGAATACACAGTATCCTCAACACTCCAAAGAAGAAACCCACTCTCCTAGGCCCCTGAGAGCTTAGGGATGTAAAATGCAAAACAACCACTTTCTTTCGAAAATCTGTTTCCTTTAAACCCTACACGCTAAGTAACTGGGTTAGAGAGCCTGAGTCCCAACTGGTTAAATTCACAGAGCCAGCTGTGATAGGTGACCAGCTAACAATGCAGCAGTTCCCCTGCTCCTGGGCCCCTGTGGAAATTCCACTTTTCAGAGGCCCCTCCTGAAAAAAACAGAAGCCTTGCCTTTCTTTTCTTTATTTTCAATAAAAACACTCCTAACCTCCTCCTTTTGGTTCATGACTTCATTCTTCAATACCGTGAGACCAGGAGCTTGCTCTGTACGGAATTAGCTGTTTCATTCTGATTCTATTCCTTACCAAGCGGATTTTGGTCAGAGTCAAGTCATCCCTAACACGATCAAAAGGAATTTAGTTACTCGAGCATTGGAAGACAAAGACAAAGTGTCTTTGTTGTGACTCTGGGTGGCAGTGTCACTAGACACATGCAGAGAAGCTGTAAAAGTCATGTTTGTCGTATCAGATCTCCCATCTGACTAGCAAGAACACACAATTCAAAGTCGTGCACTTTGTTACAAGTCCACTTGCTGCAAATACAGAAAGCAAGTTTTAAGCCAGAAAAAAGAAAGAAAAAAAATCAACTCCTCCTCCCTTTCATTTTCTTTTACAGGTCAGTCCTGGGCAGCTGTAGGCAGTTTTCAAGCCCTGTGACCTCTATTTGTCAAAAAAGGAACCAGATCTGAGATTTGGCCATGTCTACTTGCTTCCTGCCTTCATGTCAAAGAGGATGCGCCATGATTTCAAAAGAAAGGAGCAGCATACAAGAAGAGCTTTTGACTTTGAAGGAAAACAAAATCGAGTCTGATTCAGATTCTTTAATTCTTAAGATCCAATCTTTCCAATCCAGATTTTATAGTTGACGTTCATTCCAATGCCCGTCCTTCCTCCCTCCTTCCCTTCTTTTCGTCCCTTTTTTGAGCTCGGATCTTATTGGGTTACCCAGATATCTTGAGCTGCTCCAAAGCACCTAGCTCAGTGTCCTGCTGTGCTTTTTAAAAAGGAAAATGAAAAAGAGAACAAGGAAAAGACGGAAGGAATATGCATAGGGTACAAGAAGCATTTCTGTTGCTTTCAGTGAAACTAAGGAGGACTCCTCAGAAATAACTTTGAGTTCTCCAGGACTCCGTGTTAGGTCAGCATTTCAAAAGCTCCCATGAGGGAAACGCTGGTAACTGGAAGCAGTTCTTTAAAATTCTCTGAAATATTTTAAACTACCTATCTTTTCCAAAAAGCTTCTTTTATTACTAAAAAAGTTAAAATCCTCAGTTCTTTAATAGGGGTAGCATTGAAACAGGCTGAGATAAAATCATTCCTTTACATTTGTCTCTGAAGTGCAAATGTGGATCATATGCAAAGCACTAGAGGAATAAAAATTCCAACTGCCTTCTCAGATGCCATGTGTATAGCTGCATGTATCAACTGTAGTATGTGATCTTACAGGTTAGAGTTACCTTTTCCATCAGGGGCTTCTACCTGAGACTGATGCTTTAACAAAAAACGAATTGCTACTGCTTAAAAATGGCACCGATTTATGTCACTGGAAACTCCAGGCTTGTCATTGTTGGCCTCCATTAAAAAGGCCAAGCAGGAAAAAATATAACCCTGCTCCCCTGAATCCAAACACCACTACTACTAAATTAAATATACAACATTATGGGGATGCCATGACCTCTTATGCCCAACGTGATAATCTGCCATCCTTCTAATTATAGTTGATGCTATTTTCCTATTTAGGAACATTCTACAATTTGATTTTTAAATGAACACACAGGCCAAAAGAGTATCACTATATGAGAAACTGCCAGAAAATTAAAAATCTTATTACAGTAGAAGACACACTTGTGAGAATGATAGGATAAGGGTGTACGCAGCAAGGGGGAGTATTTTGAAGAGGATTCATGGGCAATATGTCTTAGTTACTTTTCTCATTGCTGAGACAAAATGCCTAACACCCAAAGTTAAAGGAGGAAAGGTTCATTTACCTCGGTTTGTAGAAGTTTCAGTCCACACTCAGCTGGCTCCAAGGCAGGGTGGCATACGGCAGAGGGCAACAGTTTACTGTGGCAGAAGATGGCAAAAACAACAAGAGCGAGACAAGCCTCTTTCTGCCCCCTTCATAGTATCCAGTCTACTGGGATTAGGGCGGTGCCAGTTCATCAGTGGACTGACCCAGTAATCACCCACCCTTAATCCTGGCATTGCACTATGAATCAATGACACACTCTAGATTCAGCCACCGGTAAAAAGCCTATGCACCATAACTGCATGAGGCTTTGGGGGACATAGTGTCCTTTACTGTAATAAATTTCTTTAAATATCCATCATATCTTTGATCACCCTATAGATCAGTCTTGTATGGCAATTTCTGTTAAAAACAATGTGCTGTGTCCTCAATCCACCCCATTCACTGGTCCGGTACCATGTAACATGTGGGTCTTTCCAAAAGTCAACCATGAAAGATAAACATTTTCAACTGATTCAAGACATGCAGGCAGCTACAAGAGCACAATTAGACACAGAAAAGAGAATTCTGAGAACTGTTTCAGAAAGTCGCAAGAATGATGGGATAAGTGTGTATGAAGCAAGGCTCCTACCAGATTCTGGGGGTTCTGGGGTCTCCTTCTAGGGGTGTTTTCTACGTTCTTTCTATCCTGAGCAAAGAATTGCTCAAGACAAGCAAAAAAAAAAAAAAAAAAAAAAAAAAAAAAGGTGGCCATGCTTTCCATTTATTAAAAGTAGGAAGTGAATATATGTGAGTGTGGGCCTATTAAAAACAGGAAAAGAATTACTCCCTGGGGAGTGCAGAGTGGGCCACTGAAAGAGTAACAGTGCCTACCAGCTTAATGGAGTTTGTCTTTCTATTTCCCACCCCTCAGGCTGATACCAGGTCTGGGCTGTCTTATAAAACCCTGCTTGAGTTCTCACCAGGAGAACTGAAGACAGCACTCTCCGACTGGTTCCAGGTGCAGGGCTGGACACAGGTCTAACAAATTCAGTCATCCTGTCACACACCCCCTGGTTTCAGTTTATGCTTTGTGATTTATAAACTAATTCTTTCTTGACTGTAAGTGGGCAGGAACCTGTAACTACAGAGTCATCAACAGTGGCTAGCAAATGGCTCGTACTTATTAAAAACATTTGCAGAATGAGTGATTAACACTAATTTATTATACGTCCTTTATCTGATGTCCCCAAAATTTAGCCTGTCATCCTATTATATACGCTTTATTTAAAACAATAGAAAAAGTTCACTTTAAATAACCAGGTATTCCATATATTCAAGTGAATATGTTTTATTAAATGCATACTAATATTCTTCTATAGTATGTGAGTATACATAATAAATTAAAATGTATATATTTATTAAATATAGGTAGATATAGTACCAGAACATGGTTATTTCAGATGAGAAATCAAAATAAACCCATTCTAAAGTATCTATTGGTCACTCCAAATTGATACTGCTCATAAAAAAAATACCAATTTTCCCTGGGGAAAAAATTAATTCCATAGCAATGTAGTTAAGGGACATGTTTTTATTTTATAGCTTTTTGCAAGCAAAAATTGCTTTGTTACAAAATGAGTTCAATGATACAGGTGCTACTGTCCACTCAAGCAAAAGAAAACCTCACATTTATACGACTGCACTGTATGATTATATTCTTACAGTATAATAGGCCTAGTGTCCAGGATGCTTCCGGTTGGCTTCCTTTAAAGCCATGGCACAGAAACGCTGCCCCATACTAGAGTATCATGATACCGGCAAGTGCTTGAAGTAGACGCCTGTGAGTTCTCTGTGAGATACTGCTTGAAGAACTGCGTGTGGATGTGTTTGTCTTGCTGCCATCCAAGTTTACTTTACATTTAAATCATCTTAAAATATATCCTTGGTCTGTGTCTTCTGGTTGTTTGGAATTGCCACAGAAAACAAGCAAATACATCATGAGGTGTCTTTAGTGTCAGCTATCAGTGTAGTGCTGCGGTTGTCAGAGAGAACAGAGACTTACCTGTAGTATGGTAACTGATTTGAGTGTACGTTTAGTGTACACATTAGGTGCAGAAATGTTAGCTCACATCAGACTCTTTTTTCCCCGTCACATATGATGTGACTTTAGCCCCAGAATATCTGACCAAAAATGATACAGATCAAATAAAAAGGCATATACACAGATAAGGCCATCTGCAGAATTTTAAACTCATCTCTTGGGATATTTCACAATAATTTCTACATCATACTTTACACTGTTCAAACTTAAATAATAAATGTTCAAGGAAGGCCCGGAGGAGAGGACTGCACTATCTCTTGGAGGACTTGTCCAGTCTGCTGGCAGGTGATCTCCTCTGAGGCGTGGGGATTTTGGAAGGCTTGCCTGTGGACGGCCGAGAACCTGCTCGGGGTGCAGGTCTGTGTGTCTGGGGGGCCGGCTCCACATCTGAACACACAGACTGGATTTCCGAGATGTCAAAGTCCGACGCATCACTGCCTCTGCGGCTGCTGGCCCTGCTGCCAGCTTTGCTTCCTGCACGGCTTCCGGGTCGGCTGGGAGTCCTCTTGGGATCTGAGAGAAGGTAGAGATGGGTCACCCCTAGTCCTGATCCTTCCACAACTCAGGCTTCAAAGCTGACAAACCTTGAACCTCAGTCTTTCTTTCTGACACTGTAGATGCTCAGAAAATATACTTTCCCTGTTACACAAGGGCAGGGAGCTTTACTCTAACGACACATAATATGGCAAAAGCCAGATTTAGATACAAAAGGTAAGTATGGACTTACCCTACTTAAAACAGGATTCCATTTATGACGAACAGGAGGAATGCACCTGTCATGTGAGCTATGCCTTCTAAGGTTTAGCGAGTGTACCTACTCCACTGCACAGGGGGCAGACTCTAGGTTTAAGTTCTACCTGAGAACAGGGAACTCCAAGAAAGCAGGAATTTAAAAGCAAAGAGTTGAAACTTTACAGAAGCTTTAGTCTGGCTGAGATCAGGACTCAGACCTTCAAAAGCTCACTGTTCTGTGAAGATATGTGAGAAGGGCTGGTGTGGGGCCCAGGATACCGGGTTTCCTAGCAGCTGACACAGGGCCCCCTGCAGTCTCCAGGCAGGAGCCCAGGCTGTGCAGCTTGAAGAGTCACGTACTGTCTTCTTTGCTTCTGGTCTGCAGTCATCCTCTTACTTTTCTTTAGTACTTCCTAAAAGGCATTTCTCATTTGCTTGCTCCCAAAGCTCATTTATCCCCTGCCTTTGCTGGATGACTAGGTCTGCATGTCATTTTAAGAATGCAGCAATTTAGAATTTCCTTCCTGGGCTGAGGCTGTGGCTCAGGGGTAGAGCACTTGTCTAGCACCTACAAGGCCCTATTGTAAGTGGTATAAAGAAAAAAATAACTCTTTCCCATTTGGGAAGAAAGGGGACTTTCATCTTCCTATTAGTATAGTGTAAAGCCATTAAGAAAGAAGGACATCCTACTCACCAGCAAACTGTGTTCGCACTCTGGCAGCTGCCGTTGTGATCAAGCCACTGTCCTCCCCAGAGTGGAAGCCTTTCCCTGACAAGTACCCTGGAAGTCGCAGCTTGCTGCCTTGTATTGGTGTTCCCTGCATTGAACCGAGAGAAGACATGTCAAGAGCATGCTCATGTGCCGCAGCCTTCCACTGACACCGCTTCCCTACAGATGGTGGGCATGCTTGCTTCCTCCCCCTATTTTTTACTCTAGGTTTAAAAGAAACCTATTAAAGGCAATGGATTTGTGGTCAAAGAGAAAACATAAAAAAGAAAGTCCCCAGTATAACACAGAAGTGATGGCAAAGAAAAGACAAATCAAGCTGGGGGACACAAGGATCTTCCAGACTGTGAGTGCGCACCCCAGTCACGAGAGCTGCTGCGTGAAGGCCGGGGTCAGGAAGGGACCGGGACTCCGACAACAAGGCTTTTAGGGAACGAGGCAGAATTAAACAAATAGGAACAGAATGAAAAGTAAATAAATGATGCCTAGAGAGCCATCATTTAAACAAATGAAACTGCAAAAAGGAAAAAGAAGTGATGCTTTTACTGGAGCTGTATTACTTCGCCTCTCGGTGCTGTCATTTTCATAGTCCCGCATACAAGATTTGCAGGATACTTTCGGGATAATTCCTTTAAAATTCATAAAGGAGACTGCAGAGAATGGCTAAGCAACTGTAAAATTTTACACTAGGTCTGAAATCACTGCATTTTTCCAGATTACAACATTTTGAATATTCTGACAAAGTATGAGAGACGACGCTGTATTCCTCAATTAATATATGGCCAAGAAGCTAAAGAATCTGTACAGATTATAAATACATTTGAAAAATAATTTCCTTTGTAAAGATAGTTTTAAATGTTTAATACAGAGGCCCTTCTGAAACAACAGAACTATATTTACTAATATTAATATATTTTGACCATTCATTAATGTATACTACATACACTGGAGTGAAGTATTTATATATGATTTCTATACGCGGAAAGTTCACATGTCCAAAATACTTTCACACACAGACCCACAATTAACTCTCACACTTACCTAATCATCACTTCTTTTATAAATTTGAGAAACTAAGGCTCAAGGGAAGACGTAATCTAACAACGCTAACTAGCTGAATTTCTTTTTTTTTTTTTTTTTTTTTTGGTTTTTCTCCGGTACCGGGAACCGAACTCACGACCTTGCACTTGCCAGGCAGGCGCTTTGCCGCTGAGCTAAATCCCCAGCCCCAGCTAAATCCCCAGGCCCTGAATTTCTAATGTAGAAGAATCTGAACAACCCACAAGTGAACTCACGGTTCAGAGGTCTTTCTTCATTACCATGAAAGACCACAATCTTTCTCTGTAGAGAGCCCTGTTTTGATCTTATTGTCACAGATCCTTCCACAGAAGCATATGTTGTGGGTTGTTTTGGTTGGTTTTTATTTAATGAGGTTATTTGAAGTAAAATATATAATTTTGAATTAGTCCAAATAATATATTTTAATTTGGGGGAGTTTCTACTTTTAAAAAATTTGAATGGAGCATCTTAATTCTAAATATTTTTTAAAAAATTAATATGTGGTGTGATCAAAAAATATGGTGAAGATTTAAATTTTTTTTAAAAAAATCATTACAGTAAAAAACACACCGCCATTAACCCCCCCCAAGTACTCCCCTTTCGTTCAAACACACATGCCATGGTTCTGGCCACTTGCTCAAACAGGTCTACAGGTCCTCCTTCGTGAGCATTGTTAGTGGTGCTGCCGTGGCTGCCATGAGGTCCTGAAATGGTTCAAAACACTGCCTTTTCCTGGTCATCGGGCTGGGGAAGAGTGAGACATTGCCGGGGGTGACCTGGGGAAGAAGGCGGAGGAGCAAGCCTGTCTTCCCGTCCACGGCGCTCAGCAGTGGCACTCACTGTGTGTTAGGCACACTGCACAAAAACACTCGCGAGAAAGCCTTCCAGAACCGCTTAAAGGAGCGGCAAGAACAGCGGAGTCAGTGTGTTTGAAGTTGGGGAAGCGGGGCTTGAAGGGGATTAACAGTGACGTCTTTTATGGTACCACATTAAAATTGAATCATTCACCTTGCACTTCCATCTAACTGCATGTTAGAACTTGAACTCTTAAGTCTTCTCAGTTGTTGCCACAATCTATCCACAACAACCGACAGGCGCCTCTTGATGTAAGCTACGGTCCTAACATTCCCCTACGGAGGGTGGAGATGGGTGTGAGGAGCACAGAAAATAAAGCAAAAGGAACAGGAAAAGCTGAAGAATGGGGCATCTCTGGCCCAGCTCTACCACTTACAGCAGCAATGGGACTGCCATGAGGTTATCAAGGTGAGGCACTCTTCGGCTACCTCTCATTACTGACATGAGGACTAAGTGTTAGATAGTGTTTTATAAGCAGAAAGGACTTCCTAAAGGTACTGTATTTCTTTTATACAAGAGACTTGGCCTTTGAGCTGTGTTTAATTAAGAGGAAATAACCTCTTTCATTTCAAGAAAGAATATTTAGTAAGTTTCCCCCCCTAATTATTGTGACTAATAAAATATGTGATTATTTGGGACCTATGTCTGTCATTTCACGGAGAAGCTTGTTAAAAAGATACATGGTTAACATGTAATTGAGCATGAATATGATATATGAGTTATTCCTGGTAAATTTTATAGCCCCTTAATATCTTATGCCCAAATATCATGCCATATGGAGAAGTTATAGCATTCTTTTTTTTTTTTTTTTTTTGGTTTTTGGTTTTTTCTGGGTACCGGGAATCAAACTCATGATGTCGCACTTGCCAGGCAGGCGCTGTGCTGCTGAGCTAAATCCCCAGCTCCCAGCATTCTTATATTAGTTACTCAAATCCAACGAAGATGCCTTTGGGAAGTGAGAGAGAAATTTCTGCAAATCTAACCCTACCCTCTACCTGCACTGATCACTGATCATTGTGTCACCTGCACCCCACCTTGCTGGGCAGAAATAACCTCAGTGGACAATCAGAAGGTACAGGATCACTGCGAACATTTACTACATTCTTTCCACTGAAGTGGTTCTCTTGCAAACTGGTACTGTCTCTCACTCCTATCTAAAGGGCACATGTCACATTTCTCGCCCAAATGATGTCTATATCCAAAAACACTCTATCAGTTTTAAAAGAAATTTTACTTAGGTCTGAATATAATCTCCTGTCTTTTACTTCTGGGAGAGATACAGCAGAATTAAGTGTGAGGGAGAACTGCAGGTGTGACAACGTCAGGCTGACACCATCTTTTCTGCTCATCCCTTGCTCGTATGTCTTTGAAGAACTGCTAGGTTGATATTTGTTGTATAGAAGTCTATAAAAAGACGCAGTATTATCAAAATTACATAAGGGAGTGGTGAGGCAGTGTTAGTGGGTGATAGTTCCAATTAAAGAAGACTGTTAAGGCTGGGATCTGGGGCCTTACAATACCTCTGCAGATGACACGGCAAAGTCTGGGCACTCTGCTGGCTTACAAGGAGTTGACATTTTGCTGTTTGTCAACCATGGTTTACCATAATTGCGTGTTAAAGGATGGAGAATCTGTATGGAACAATGGCAAATCAAATGTAAAGGATAGCAGATAAAAACCAAAGCCACAGAAAGAGATATTCATAGCTGGGAGTCACATTTCACAGTCGAATAATAATTAAAAATAAGTGGGAAGATCTGATGGCAAAATCATACACACCAAAAAACAAAAAAAACAAAAAAACAGAGGGAGAGAGAGGATGAAGCTTTAAAGGAAAACTCAATTTGAAACATAACAAAGCCTCTACATAAATAATCTCTACGTGGATACTAAGAAAAGCATATTTTTAAAACCAGAAAATCCTGAGTTCCCCATACTGTGAGAAGGGACACAAACGGAGACAAACAGTTCTACAAATTCTAAGGATGTAAAACATTCAAAAGTATACTCAGGACACTGTACGGAGAAGAAGTTTTCATCCCAGGGTCCTACCTTGGGCGTGGTGGTGGCAGGGACCTGCGGGGAGGCCCCCTGACCAGCCTGGCTGGACACAGAAGTTGATCTGTTAGGTGAAGCTCCCCGAGAGGAAGGCCGGGATCTGCGGCCCCGGGGTCGGAAGGGAGCCATACCCTGACTGGCACCATCTGCCAAGATGAACTTCTCACGCAGTTCCATGTTGGTCCTTCCTTTAGCTGGATCACACACCGACACACAGCAACAACACATATAAGAGAAGGAAAACAGGTACTCAAGTCATTAATGGAAAGAACGACCATCTAGTACCAGAGATTATGCTGAGAATTTCAAAAACATCTTTTTGCCATGCCAACTCCAATGCAGCATAACAAAAAGTTAAATGCATTCCTTAACAATGCATTCCTTTTGGATATAAGTGAGTTTGGGAAGGGGAGGAAGTGTGCTTATTCTAACACTAGACACCAGCAAGAATAACCACTATAAAAGAAAGACTCAGCATGAAAATGGAAAGCTCATGCTAAAATACTGTTAATCCACCAGCTACTGATGCCTCAGGGTCTCACTGCCCTTTCGTCACACTGAGAAGACAAACAAGGCGGGCAGAGACTAGGTCTCTTGCATGTGCTATTGAGGTCAGGAGAATGCTAGTGTTTATTTAACATGAGGATTAATTAACAATAGATCACACAGAACGAGAGATGGCTCATTAGGCATGATGACAACATAGAAACTTCCAGGTTTTTCACTGACATGAGGCAGCTAGTATTTTTACTTTCTGCCTTGAGAAACATTACCAACATGCAGTAACAAACACCAGACCCAAGGATCCGTGAGGTAGTCAGTGGTGCAGCACTCATACAAACACATGTGCACACGGAGCACACGCTCGAGAACCCGATGAGCAGCGTGTTCGCATGTGTCCGATCACTTACATAACGCCTGCGTGTGCAACACACTGGAAGTGTGTCCAGTTTCCAAAGTTTAAATTTGGAAGCACCAGCTCACAGTTGGATACGCGTTAAGCCATAAGCGATGAAGCGTGTTATATTAAAACAAATGATTAAAGCAAGAATGTAAAAGTAGAAAAAGAAAAAAGGAAAGAGGGAGAGGCAAAGAGGGGTTGCCAACCTATAGTAGGCTGAGTAGTAGTAATTGAAGAGTTTGATTCCGAACGTAACATTTTACTCCCATGATGATGAACTAGAAAAAATGACACAGGATACCAATCACATTTAAGAATACTGTTAGCAGAAGAAGAAACAAAGTACAGTAGTTGAATATGCAAAGAGTGCTCAGCCTGTAGCACACATTTTAGAAGAAAAGTGGCATCAAGAAAAGAAGCCCTCAAAGTTTTGGCTCAAAAGAGAAATGCGTTTGAAAGACTTTGCCACAGTCACACTAGACTCCTAAGCTGACTAACAGAACAGTACGCCTTCTAATTTCTTTCTTTCCTAAACGGAGCTGCACTAGGCCGTTGCTTTCAAAATACAGCCACGTGTCCTGTAAGGACAGTTCCCTAAGGAGGGACCGCAGGTGCACCATGGCACCCTGTGAGCGCACACCAGAGCTGAAGCATTGCATCGCCAGTCAGCACTGTGGTTACAGAGTGACTCCCAAGCCTGCGATGATGCCGGTGTAAACAAAGCACAGCACAGAGCTATGCACAGGACAGAACCCCTGATGATGGTAATGACCGGTACTTGTTTATGTATTTACCACATTATATTTTACTGTTATCTTAAACTTCACTCCTACTTATAAAAGTTCACTGTGAAACAGTTAAGCTGTGTTATGCCAGCAGTAGCCTTGTATATCTCATGTGAATTACATCTCGATTACATTATTTTCTCTTGTGCTTGCTTTAATCTCATGTTGCTTTGCTCATCATGGCCCTGGGGACACTAGGTTACAGCATATACACACCACAGTATATAGCCTGGGTGTGCAGCAGGCTATGCACATGTAGGTTTGTTTACATACACTCCACATACGCACAATAAGTGCACTGCCTAACAGCACGTTTCCCAGAGCACAACTCTATTAAGTGATACATGATCGATAAAAGAAAATAGGTGCTTTTATTCCGATTTTACCTCTCTTTTGGATATGTCTTCAGCCAACAGCGAGCAGACCCACTGAGTGTGGCCGATAATAAGCCGTGGTGGCCTTGGCACACAGGACCCCCATACTCCTAAATCCGGGATCCTCAGATGACAGCACGGCATTCAAGAGGATCCCCTGGGGCAGCCTTTACCTCCTACTTGGTAGCCTAATCCCCAGCACTGGCGCAGGTATTGTATTGTAAAAGGATCACCGTAAGCTCAAGACTAAAGCAAAGTGTAACTGCTCTACTGTGTCTTCTTTCAAACGAAGAAAAACGTGCCTACTGAGCAGATGGTAGCTAATTAGAAACTGCAACCAACTGTTCATTTGTAAATCAATTAAGAATTTAAAAACTGTAGGATCTGAAAATTAAAAATTAAAAGCTAACCTAGGTTTCTTTGGGCTGTAGATATGGTGAGAATTACAGTACTATATGCTTATATTTTTAATATTCCAACCTGTGACTTCGAAGTAAGAGTCAAGTTAACAGTTTGCTGCTATTTTAACATTTTTTTAAAGTATTGCTTTCTTCAGGTCTCCCTTATTTCATAAAAACTTTGACTTTTAAATTTTTACTATCCAAGCCAGGTGTGGTGGCACATGCCTGTAATCCTGGCACTTGGAAGGCTGAGGCAAGAGGATCGCTGCAAACTGGAGACCAGCTTGGGCTACAAAGCAAGCTCAAGGCCAGCCTGAACTGTATCATGAGACTCTGCCTCAAAAAGACAAAACAACAGTAGAAAAACCACAAAAACACCCTTTGACTAGCCATTATTGTCTCAATTTTCTTTCCCCCTACCTTGCTATTTAATGACAAACCTTTTCATTGGTTAAGTGCAAGTGCTCATTTTGAAAATTATAGACAGGAGGCTCTCATAAGGAACACTGAGTCTAGTATTTCCTGCCTACCTGTCTCATATTTATTCTGGAAATAGTAAAAAAAAAAAAAAAAAAAAAAAAAAGAGAGAGAAAAATATGGTTTGTATGACTGCCACAAGTTCTTTGGGAACTTTAGGCTATGAACCAAAGTGAAACACTATCAGAGTCAATGTCCAAATTATGCCCAGTAAGTTTTCAATGCTAGAAAATAACACGAAGCTGGCCTATTTTCAGGGTGCCGTCACCTTCACATAAGCATCTCCTTACCCCTGCAAGGATCATTTTTCACTAAGAACTCATCAAGTGCCATCCATCCACCTCCAACGCGAACCATCACAGTGCTTCGCAGGATCCGAACCAGCCGCAGCTGCTGGGAGTCTCCAAACTGCACAGTAAAGAAAGAAAGAATCTCTAATTGTCAGTAATAATCCTACGCTAAAGTGTGATGTGTGATCTGCAGGAGCTTAAGCAACCAACTTTACTCTCTTGCTTAGTTCATAGCGATTAGTAAAATCTCAACAAGGAAGTTGTCATGATGTGCGTTAGACTGCAGCATGCTGATTTAGCCCAAAGGAAAAAGATGAGGAAAAGATTCAAAGGTTATCAAGTATAACAATGAAGCTTCATTTAAACAAGCTTTATCTTTCTTATAGTAGAATCAACATTAGTAAGATAGTAATTGAGAAATGTTTTTTAGAAATTAAACACAGCCATGAAAATTTGCACTGGCCCACTTGCCACGGGCTTACACAAAGTAAGCAGATTCAAAGGAAAAATATAATAAATTCTTAGTTCTCTCCATTAAAATTATTTTTGTGTGGTACTAGGGATTGAGCCCAGGGCCTCTGAACTGAGCCAATCCCTATCCTGTTTTTATATTTTTACTATGAGACAGGGTCTCAGCTAAGTTGCCCAGGCTGGGCTTAAACTTGTTATCCTCCTGCCTCTGTCTCCCAGAGCACTGGGATTACAAGCATGTGCCACCATGCCCGGCTTAAGATTACCTCTTATATTAAAACTGTTTTCCACTGAAATCTATGGTAGAAATCTCTTCACAAACGTACTTTGTTTTCTTTAAAAAAGTTTTGTCTCATGGGGAGTAGAGTAATAAGTAAGTATGACTAATAAAAATTTCACAGTCAACTAAAATTCCTGCGTCCTTAATGGTCTGAGAAACCAATTTATAGAAGGCTGGATTAATATGCCACTTCAGATTAGTGTAATATTGCAACAGTTACTGACAAATTATTAATGATACAGCTTTCAAATCTAAAAGGGTTTCTCCAAAGCTGTTTATACCCTAACTGCTGACACTAACAAGCAATCATCTTTTTCCTGCCCTTTCAACGAATTGCCAATCACTTGGATATGGTATATATTTGTCTGGTTATAGGTTTATTTGTTTTGAAAGCCTGTGAGAAATGATTTTGTACTTTTAAATCATTTCTAATAGGCTTATATTCAACGTGTGAAAATACTATACTGCATTTCATGGCTGCCAACCTAGCAGACAACAAAGCAAAACAAACAGTTAATTAAGCATAAGCAGCTTCTTTTTAAAGCACGGAAAAGATAACAGTGACGCTTATTTGTCTGGAATCACTATGAGAAACAGAAAACTTTAAGTGGAAATGATCTGCTATTTTCAACAAGCTTTAGCGTTAGATTTCAGGAAGAGAACCTTAAAGCAAAGTCAACCCAATCTTATACAGGACCCTAACTCAGCAGGAGCTGGAAAGCATGTGGGATGCACAGCGGGACCTCATCGGGGTACACTCAGAGCTGTGAGGTTCCTTTTCTAAATCTGAGTTTTAAACATTGAGACTTGAGCATTTTATAAGTGAACCTGTTCCTGAAATGTAAATATCAAAATATGTATTTTGTTAGAAAAAATTTGGTGCTGCTACTAAGCAAAAGGAAAGGAGGGGATTTAAAGAAAATTACCCTTAAGGAACCAGATAATTTTGGTCTAACATTACGTCCAAAACAAAAGTTTTAAGGAAATAACTAAAAGTACTTTCTAGAGATGAAATTTCAATTCTATTAAATATGAGTAATTTTCAATTTTAAGAAGGCATTCTCCAGACAACCAATATTGTTTTCAGAATTTCTCTAATTTTCCCAACACCCAAATAGTGAAACAAGGAAAAATAAAAAACAAAAAACAGATCAATATTCTTTCTGCTTCAGTGAATAAAATCATTTCAGGTATTTCTCTTATCTCCACAAATAAAAGACACTATCCCACTTACTGACTCAGAAAATAACAAAAATGGCAAGGTAACATTTAATATATTACAATAAATGAAATTTTACTTTGACTTGATTATTATCATCATCTACATGTAGCACATTATATATGTGTCAATTAGAATACCTCTTGGAAAAAATCTATTTAAAGTACCTGAATATTTCTATTTGAAATTACCTGCCTGCAAGAGATGGGGGTAGAAGATAATTTGAAATTTAAGATGCAATATGGCTTAAAATGGTGTGGCAAAGTAATAATATATGTCAGGTACTACAGATAGCAATGTTCTTTATAAGAAAACATAGGAAAAGAAAATCTCCTTGAATTTTACATCCAACATTTATTTTGTCACTAGTTTAAAATTCTAACCATGCTGTAGTGCCAGTAGGCAGTTTACAATGACTTCAGTGTCAATATAGCCAAGGAGCCATAATATCTGGACTTGAAGATTGTGTATATGTGACAACTTTCCCCAAAGTGAATGACATCACTTAAAATCTGCAGAGTTTATGTTTCTACCAGAGGAGGACAAGCTTTCCATCTATGACTTAGCACAAATGGGAAACAGTCGCTTGGAGAGAACACGTTACTATGGCCAAGTGCCATGCAGGCCCCTCCACGCTCTGTCTTCCCCGCCATTGTTGGTCCTCCTGCGCTCCTGTACACCGTGAGTCCTGAGTTAAATACTCATTTAAACAGTTAAATACTCATGAGGGCACACAGATGTGTGGAGAATTGAATTCGTGTTCAGTAAGTACTTGCATAAAATATATGCTAACAGTATTAGTGCAAATGGGAATTTAAAATTGTATTTGTAGCACTATAGTCAGCTAAGGTACAATTCATTATCTGGTTTGCTTAAAAGTAATCTCCTCATTTGAAATGCAAGGCAGAAAGGAATCCTGGATCAAGGACCCTTTAGCGCTTATAGAAACACCACGCCAACTAACAACATAGTAGCTCGGGAGACAGCATGGGAAGATTGGCCACGGCAAGCTTTAATGACAATGAATTAAAGTTTAACAAAGTCATTTGGAGCTTGAGAATGTACATTCCACTGGTTTATACCTGATTTCCCAGGAAGAACTGATAAAATGAAAAATGGGAGAAAGACACAATTAGTTTAACAGGAAACTTGCAGATGACTTGAGAACATACCACACACTCTCACGCTCTGGATACAGTAAGTAGCTTAGAGATGTGCCAGGACTCACTTGTCCCAATTTCAAACCAATCACAAAATTTTCTCTATAGATTTACTGGAAAATCTTAGGATTTCAAATTTAAATTAAAATTTGACTATGTACAGGATTCTTTTTCAGTATGAAAGTATAAAAATAAATAATGGTGCATTAAGACACTGTTAGGGAAAATCAGCACATTTCCTATCTAGTTACTACCTATCAGAGATGTTCCAAAAGAGAAAAAATAAAGACAGAGTGATAAAGTCACACTGTTCTCCTGTTCTGAAGGTGAACTAAGTCTACCGAGAGTCCAAATACAGTAGAAGAAAACTTACTGCATACTTCTCATATTTATAAAAGTGAGTCAACATTCTGACTATGGCTCTGTTTTAGAATAGCTCTGTTATCCAAAATCTGGAGGCTAACCTCAAATTATAATAAAATACAAAGTAATATGGAGCAACCTGAACTTTTGAGGTTTGAATGTTTCACTGTGAATAATTCTTGTTCTTAAAAGTAACATGCATATGCTGTAAAGGCCAAAGATAGGCCCTAATAGCAAAAAAAAGCAGGCTATCTTTATATAATTTAAAATGAAAATGTTGGCATTCCATATGCCATTGAATTTTGATATGTAAAAATAATTACGATTCCTAGAAAACAACACAGATCAAACTGTACATCAATTTCAATTTCTATTCTTTAAAGGAACTACAAAGTTATTTGGAAAACTTACCCTGTATTTGTTATCACCAATCTGTTCAACTTGAAATCGTTTTGCACATTTACACTTAGCTACCTGCCTTGTGACCTGCCAAAAACAATGATGAAATATTCACTTTAATGTTAATATCACATAGCAGAATCCTTAAGAACTGTTACACAACAAGTAAAGCAGAAATAAATACAATGGTTGCATGAACTGCACATGATATCCTGGCAGAACACACTAACACTACTGCAGACAGTGGAAAGATAAGGAGTACCTCATCTTCAATTTTGTCGGCGTCTGTAATGGGTTTATAGGCATCTTTATTTGGGTGAAGAGCTGCTACAAATTCATAGTAGTCAATGTATCCATCACCATCTCTGTCAAAGATGTCTGCAACTGCACTCATCTCCAGGCGACTGGTTGGGAATTCTAAAATTTGCAAAAATACAGTAAGTACTGTACCATAACTTGTTAATTCCACCTTAAGAAATTTTCAAGTTCTTTAATCTGAGCCTGGCTGGTTAAATTCTCAAGCTGATCAAATGTGTTAAAAACTGATTTATAGCATCACAAATGAAACAAATATATATATATATGTGTGTATATATATATATGTACATATAATATCAAAAATCTCATGAATGTTCACATTCCATTTGTGTTAGTCTGGGATCTGCTGTTCTTTTAGGTTGAGACCTTTTTGGTCTGCAATTTCATTCACTTCAACTACTCTACTTAATGAGTAATTTACGTCAAATTTACATTAAGAATTACTTCTAGTGAAATATGCTAGGGAAATTAGGTACATACACACAAACAAACCAACCATCAAATGAAAAGGTACAAACACCTTAAAAGTCCCTATAGGGTTCTAATGGTTTAATGTTAGATCAAAATGTGAATTATAGACAAAGAAAACCCTCCAAAAAATAAATGAATCAAAGAGCTGGTTCTTTGAAAGAATAAA